TCATTCTGTGTCTCATCACATAGACTCTATGGCCCCAAGAACTAACCAATGACATTTATATGGACACTGGCACAAGAGCAAAGATAAATAAATAGCAGCCTACATGCCTCTCTTAAAAGGTCAAAACTTTCAAATTGGAGAGCAATCTACTTTTAAAATGTCTTATGTAGCAGTTATGTCAAGTTTGATGTCTGTTACTACTTCAAAATGTACCCAATATGCTTTCCTCACACAGAGAATCCCAACAACCTTCATAGCTCTGGATCTCTATTGCCACTGTCAAGAGGCATTCTAGTCCCCAATTTGCTTTGGTGACTTGACAGGCACATCAGAAGTTGCCAGAGAAGGAAGGAGGTGGCACCTTGGTCATCACCAACCGTTGTGGAACCATAACTATTGCAACTGTGCAAATCAGTGTGGCCTGAGAAGTATTTCCCCCCAGGGACACGCTTTTAAAAAGACAGTAAGATGATAAATAGTTATTTCTACTTAAATGTACCTTTTTTCCAACCGCACAGATTACATTCCAATATCGTCATTTAAACTGTGGTCTCCTGCAGCCAGACTATTGCGAGCACTGGATTTTACAATCCACAGAGAGTTCCTACTGAATGGCTGGCATATTCGCTTCCAGCTCTCCCCCCTTTCTGCTAATGACAACGTTGGTGATGACCAGAATACCTGACAGTTGCAGGGTGCTGTGTGCCTTTATGTACCTGGTCCTCCTTGGGGCATCCCTCTTGGCCAGCTGTGACAGCCGAGATCCAAAACAGCACCAAATCAGCAGCGGAATTCCACTGAATTCATTCTCCTTCTAAAGTGTCAGCAACTCTGAAATAATAAATCAAACCATCTTAGGACAGGCTTGGGCAATTTAGGCCATCTGCTCTAAAAAGAAACACAAGTAATTAACAGGCTTCACAAATATTTTAGCTGAAGGAAATGCCATTACAGGTTGTAGTAGCAGGCAAAAAAAAAAGTCTTCTTGACACAAGCTCCAGGAGTGTTCTGCTTTAAACTTATAGAAGCAAGTTTATACAGCTTCTTGTCCATATCGTGATGCTAATTATTCAAACTGAAAAGCATTGCGCAATAAAGGATAACAGCTCTGAACAAAATGCCATTTTGAAAATAATCTATATGAAAACCTACAGAGTCACTGGAGTTTCTGAGCAGATGTCACTCTTGCTTTTATAGCAACTCCCTGAGTTTGCTTTCTCAGCTTCTTAGAATACGGAGAGAACAAGGTCTAGGTCTGGGGTTTGCTTCCCAAGTAAGGAAGTTAGGAGAAAGGAAGTCTTCACTGATAGCAACAGTACCCCATTTCCCAAAAAAGCAATGTGATGCGCTTGTCATTTGGATCAGTAGATGGACACCATCATCTCTCCACGTGAAAAACAGCACAGACGTTACACAGCCGTAAATGGCCGCCAGAGGCAAAGGTCCCGGAGAGTCCAAGCACCACAGAAGGGACAAGCCACTGATGGGGTGACCTGGAGGCTGCTGCTGCCTTGCTGAGGTCACTGCCATGAGCCTTCCGAGTCAGTCTTCCTCCACGGTGTTGTCCTGTGCGGTAACGCAATTTTGTCGGGGACAGAAAGGGGACAGCCAGAAGCATTGGAGTAAGGAGAAGGACTCTTCCATTCGTCTAATGGCGTTAGACCACTTTTCACTTTTTTTCTGTCCCTTTTGGGTAAACTGATCCAGAGAACCCTTCGGATCTTAACCACTCTTTTTTCCTGCTAGCCTTACTGTCTACCTGCAGAGCCTGCGGAGAACATGAGGGGCGATGCAAGGATGGCTGGGCAGACAGATGCACGAAACGAAGTGAGTTTTCCTCTCTCTCTTGAAGAAAAATGCATTTGCTCTGCTGGCAGTCTGTTGAACGGGCTCAGTCTGAAAAAGTTGCATGTGATGAGGTTGGGAATAGGGTGTTTAGTACTGATGACTGCTACGCCCCAGGATATTTTGAAGAGCAAGGACAGCACTTCAAATTGCCAGCCATAAACGCTGGAGGGTGGGCATAGGGGAGGGGCGACGAGGAGTGGGAAGAGAGCGGAGCCCCTTGCAGGACAAGGTACTAACTGGCCATCTGACACACCAACAGGTGTCACATGCCACCTGTGGTTCGCATCAAAGTGCTCACTGCATTGGGCCAAACTCATACAGCTGGATCTGAGCCTCGCCAGCATGATCCCCAGTGTCAGCAGCACCCTAAAGGAGCAAGGCCACCAGATAAAATAAGGGGACCAGTGAACCTCCAACCACACAAGCTCTCAAATGCAGACACCCAGGGAATGGATAGAAGGACCTCACCTTATGATTTTTCCATCTCAGAACCTATGAGTTTGGTGGGTCTCCGAGATCCTAGAAGCATTAAGAAGGGAAGCTCTTGCCATCGGACTGACACGAGATTAGGTCTTATAAATCAGAATGTCAGTGAGCATTACACAAGACTCACGGTTTAACAAAGGAACCGCCTCTGCAAGGCCTCACTCCCAGGTTCAGGGAATGTTCTTGGGAAGGTGCCAGGCCCTGTCACAGGGCCTGTGGTGGCACGTCTAATTTATGCCAAATCTAGATCAAGACTGGGAGGGCTTATGTGGTGCCTGCGGGGCTCCTGTGGGAAAATTCCCTCCTAAATTCTGGATTAGATCACAGACGCCACAGCATGAGAGAGGGCGAGGCTCTTGCCAGGTAAGCCCCTCAGGGTAACGGATTCAAGGACAAGCAGGCTTATCACAAGCTTTCAACATTTGGGCTTCAATCAAGGCCTGACACACAAATGCCAAAAATGCTGAAGGGAAAAAGAAAGTCGCAGGATTTCTTGACTACTTCTAGAAAAACATGGCAGGAATGTCAGAAAAGCCAAATCATCAGCAATCTTGACATTCAAGAGTAATGAACTCCATTCAGGTTCATGCACTGATTCTCTTATAGTCACATACCAGGGTCAATGATGGCACTTGAACTCATGACCTGGTAAGTTACATGAGTTAGCCATACAAGGGCAGCGATTCCATCAAAAAAGAGCTGCTGATTCTGTCAAATTCACCTCCCCAAATGTATCAGCTTTCTAGGGCTTCCACGAGCAATCATCACAAACTGGGGGGGGCTTAAAACAATGGAAATGTATTCCCTCACAGTTCTGGAGGCCAGAAGTCCTAAGGGAAGGAGTTGGCGGGGCCACGCTCCCCCTGAAAGCCCTCGGGGGGGATCCTTCCTTGCCTCTCCCAGCTTCTGGGGGCTCCAGGCATTCCTAGGCCTGTGGCTGCATCGCTCAGGTCTCTGCCCCCACCTTCACACGGCCTTCTCCTCCGTCTGTCTTCTCTTGCGTTGCTCCTAAGGACACTTACCATTAGATCTATGGCTCACCTGGGTAATCCAGGACGAGCTCACCACAAGATCCCTCATTTCATTTGCAATGGCCCTTTTTCCAAAGGCATTAGGACGTGCACATATCTTTTTTTTTTTTTGGGGGGGGGCACAACTCAACCCCCTATACTGAGTGTACCCTGGAGCTTCCTGGTCTTTACAAAACTTCAAGCGCTTAAAACAGCCAATATTCACTTCCTTCCTTTGAAGAGGAAGGGAACTCTTTTCCTTTTGCTTTCTATACCATTTGGAAAATAGCTGACCTGCGCCTCAAAGGTGGGTGGATGAATATGGTGCAAGTGTACCCCATATCATTTCCACACGTACTCAGCTTCAAAAGCATAAAAAAGTTTTCCTAATTATACCATTTACACTTGGTGATCCACAACTGAAAAAGTCTAGTTTTCACCTCACCTGCTTAGGCACAGTGACTGCATGTTTCAGATGCAAAAATCTACAAATGCTTTTATGCAGCTTTCAGGATAGAATGCTTTGGGGGGAACTATCCATGCTAAAACAAGTAAACAAATGACATATTAGTTGTGGGATCTTGGGAAAGTTATTTATATTCAAACACCAGCAGGCTCCTGCCAGAGACACACGGTTGGAAACAGAGGCAGTTGCTGCAGAGTAGGGAGTGTCAAGCAGACAGCGGCACCGTTGAACACCACACACTCACACTGCACCTACACTGAACGCAAGAACTGATGGGCACTAACTCATGAAGAAAATACATTCATGTACATATGGGGTTCTAAGTGAGGCTAAGACATGAGTAGAGAGAAAGCAGGGAAAGAGAGAAATGAGCAAAACAGAAATCCAAGGAATACACAAAAATGTACCTAGTAATCATGTTCTATAGTGGCAAATCACAAGAAAACAAGCCAATATTTATTGTGAGTTTATTTTTCTGGGAAAGGATGTAAACTATAAGGTATAAAGACGTAGTCCCAATTCTAACAGGGCTGTCTGACATGTGATGAACCCGGGTGCTGATCTGGTAGTGCTGAAGGCTCCCACATGATAACAGGAGTAAATTACAGAGGCAGGTAAAATGGATAGTACATTTTAAAGCTTTCCCACATTAAGGGTGAAAATGAAAATGATTTCCCAGCTCTCGGGAAAACAAGATTCAATTGAGCATACAACACCCCTTTTCTAAAGCGGGACAAATCGAGGTTTTAAGTGCAGAAGAATATGGGGACATTTCTAAGTGTGTTTACCAGTCGGAAGGGAGATCTTAAGGTGGGGTCTGAAGGCAAGCAAGTGGAATTTTGGGGCACACTGCTACTTCCCTCCTTCACGAAGCATGTACCAAGTTAAATTCCCTAAGTACTACAATAAATACACCTGTTTAACTTTGACGAGGCGTTTCTCAAATACGTTGATCAGGAAACCCTTTTTGTTATGATATCTATTTGGTAAATGATGGCCAGGCCACAGTGAGTTTCCTAAATCCTTAGCGTTTCCTCCAAGATTTATTCATGGTTCATTTGGCATGGCACGGCATGGCTTTTTTGTTGTTCACTGTTTTCTTAACAGGATACTCCTCCACACACACTTTAATTCTTACTTTGGAAATCTGGCATGCACAGAATTAAAAAAGTAAATGCCTTAAGCTGAAATATGTTTTACTTACATATTATTTATTTGTTCTCTGCTATTCAGTACAAAAACATGCATTTCAAAACACTGTAAGATATTTAATAAACTGAGCAATAGGCAAACTCAGGTGAGTCTGAGAGACCCGGTTACAGGGCAGCAAGGTGAGCCTGTGGCCATGGGCGCACACTCCTGTTTTGTAAACTCACATGGACTCAAAACAATAATAAAAGACATGTTTCAAAAAGCAAAATAAAGATAAAGCACTGAGCACCTTTTACAATGTTGTAACAAAACATTCATGAATTCCTCTGTGTGAAAATCTGGGAAAAGATGAAAGAAACAACTAGATACCAAAGGAGTTAAATAACTGTTTATGAAGTCAGTTTTCTCTGAGTTATGAAAACACTGATCAAAAAATCCTTTGAGGCAATGGGTTCTCCATGTACCAATGTCACTGTCTGCTAAGGCAGCTTCAGCTTCTCAGCTGTCCACTTAGGAGTTTATAGTACAGACTGATGCATGCGATCTTATACTGACACCAACACATCTTTCTTTTTTTATACTATAATGCTTTTTCTGGTATACCATGAAGTATATCACAAATAAATTATATGTTATTATACATAGAAATTAAGAAAGCACATACTGCCAAACTGAGTTTCGAATCTTCTAAATTTTATGCGTTCACTCACCTTGACAACTTGAAAAATCTAGTAATTCATAGAGGGCTTCCTCGTCATTAATGCAAATTAGAAATGCAATAACTTAATTCAAAAGCAATTATTTTTAAAAATTGGACTCAGACACTATAGCTTAGTTAGCATCAGACAAAATCTACTGGCACGCCACGGGCAACAACAGGCCAACTCCACAGTGATATGTAAAGGTCACTTAATGAAAAATCCAAATAAAAATTACTCTCAAAATATTTTGTCCATTAGAATCTGTTTACGAATAGAAATTTAAATTTACCAGGAGGACTTTAGGACTTTGGGCTTGTAGCTCACAACCAGAAAGAGAAGCAATTTTAACCCTGATTTTTATGATTTTGTCAGAAAGTTTAACTATTGATTTAAGTAATGTGTGATAAAAACTATGGGGTTAACAGATAGTGAATCTACAATTAAAACTAATCCTTTTAAATTTTTTCCCATGGACAAGACACAAATACCAAGCATTTCCTATCTCCAGAAATTCCATGAGAATCCAGAAAAGAAAAAGAAAAAAAAGTTGAAGGTCAAAGTTGCATCTAGCTGGTTGACTACAAAAACCCTAGAAACAGCACTAAGAAGCTTATGGTAATACTGCCTCCTGAAAAAAAAAAAAGACAAATGCCTGCAAACACCTTTTCAATTGAAGCTTCAGCTCATTTGAGTACCACGTCCTGACAGTCTTTCTAGCGTTACCGTTTAGTAGTTAGAACTACCTGCAAAACCAGTGCTAAGAGTTGGTAAATATTTATGGTGCTACCTGGTGATTTCCTTCCAGCTCAGTCACGGCACGGACTTTGACGTGAGCAGAGCTGTCCTCACAGGAGCACAGTCCGCTGTGCGTAACCAGATTGTTACAGCTGCTCTGAAACATCACTGAGCAAAGCTGCTAGTTAAAGGGAGAAAATGAACATGGAGACTGCTTTATCTGCGTTCCCATAGACATAATCACTATTTTACACGTGCAAAACCTAAAGAGAATGGAAGCTCCTTTATTCCAGATAACCTGTAAGGCTCAGAATTCCACATATAATTTGCTTCATGGGAGCAGAACACGCCATACATCAATATCCAGCTTCTCGGAGAGTCCTTGATAAGCATCTGGTTTAAAAGGAGACCGAGAACCAGGGTCCATATGCTGAATGATGGCTTCGGCAACATCATATGAGGTGGCTTTTGGGTTTGCCACACAGTTGGAGCTTCTTTGTCGTGAGCAGCTGCGCCAGCCCGTTGAGAAACACCAGCACGATGGTCATGCACATGACAATCACGTAGTGGCTGATGCTGCAGAAGGAGAAACAGACGTAACAGGCAGAGAGAATACACGTGAGGGAGTGCATTTAAGTTCCTCTAAGCGATGTTTCTAAATGTACATGCAGATACACAGAAATGATATCAGTGATTCCGAAGTAGGTATCAAAATGTTAAAAAACAAATTTGTTATAGAAATAGTGATGAACATAAGCAGTATTTTGAGGTATGTCCCACAACTGTAGCATGTCATGAAAATGTCTGATTGGTATTAGCGGTGCCTGCGCCTTTGTTACCGGCAAACACTGAATTTCAAAACCTGGCTTTTAGAAAAATAAAGATAATGTCCCCCTTCTAACTCTTGGACTCTCTGAATAATATCCAGGGACTCCCCAAGGTCCCCAGGTTAAGTATCCTGACACTTTAGAGCATGCCATCCTATGCTTTGACATAAGTTAGGAGGACTCGGACAAAAGGACCAGCCACAAAGAAAGAAAAATGTTACCCAAACTCATGTTCAGTGAAGTGCAAGTTTTAGTCAAGGAATCTAAACAAATTTAAAAAAACGAACAAAAAAAACCACGTCTCTTTTTTAAATCTCAGACTCAAAGCTACAGTCTCCCAGACTTTTGGGAAAAGATAGAAGAATGGATACTGTTAAAATACTCAGTCCCAGCTCTCATCTACCAACAACAGTAAATGTTTAGTTTTTCTTTTTAAACACAGAAATTGTACTGTCTACACAGAATATGGTTTGTGACAAATTCAGAAGGATGGGAAGAAATCTAGGGAACAGATGTGACAAATGGGCAATAAAGCCGGGGCTTCCCACAGTGGCACTAGTGCAGTCGGACCCACGCTGAGCCTGTGCAGGCTGGCACATTACTTACTTACGATGCCCACCAGCTGCCCTGAACTATCTAACTTGGTAACAGAGTCACATGTTTTACAGCCTTCACAAAGATGGGAGAAGGTTTTAGCAAGCCTGTAACCAGGCTGGCTAGATGAAAGGAGGCCATATTCCTCCTCCTCACCTCCCCCCGCTCCACCCCCCAGAAAACAGGAGTCACAGGGCTGGTTACAGAAAGTTCACCCCAGGAACGGCCCCCAAAACAGGCCCCAGGGAATTTGTCTTCTGAGATATGGGAAGGTGACTACTGAGTGCACGTAGAACAGGCCACTTACCTACAGGGACAGGGAGGCTAAGGGAAAAAGGGCAAAGAGGTCGCAGGTCCCCCTCCCACCTTCTTAATAACTCCAAATCAATAGCCCCAAAATGTCAATTGCTGGCTGTGGGTTAACCTAAGCACAGCTTTGCGAGGCCAGGAAGGCAGGGCCTCCCACTCTGGGCAGAGTTCATCTTTATTTTTTGGTACTGTCAAAGTGATAGCTTCCAAGTGTAAAGTTTTACGGTTTGATAAGACTGTCTTTGGAAAGGCACTGGTTAGGACATTCTTCTTTAGAATCTTTCTGCAACAGAAAATAAAACTAGTTATGTTAGAAAGCTGAGTCTGGTCTAGGGTAGGCTCCTGACCTAAAAAGAAAACAATAAAATCAGACCCTTAATTGCTAAACAAATATGAACTCTAAAGTATGATTTTTGAAATTTTTGTTTTCACTGTAAAAACAATATACCAGGATGTTGGATTAGTGGCCCCTGTCCCAAGCTGCCAGGTCCATGGAGGCAGGAATGATGATCGCTATTTCTTTCCCCACTGCATCCCTAAGGCCCGATGAAAGGCCTGTTGGGCCTTCAATTAATGTTTATTAAATGCATTATTAAAGAGAGTCATTTTTAATTAAAAGAAATCAGAAAATCTTTTGTTTTATATTACCCTGGCAGATGAAATCTGGACTGAAATCAGACTCCCCTAAAATAGAAAACATAAACCTATTGTCAAAGTTGAACGCTTAAAAAAATAAAATCCCAAAATGTTTAAAGAAATAAAAAGAGTCTCTATCAAATCAAGTAGAACTAGCCCTACAAAATATTAAAACATAAAGAGAAGTGTAGCACTGGCATTAGAATCGAAGTCAGAAGCACGGAAGGGAATGGAAAACCATACACACCAGACGAAGGACTCAGCACAAGGAACGCACGCGGTGCTGGGTGGGCTCACGACACTTACGGCCCAGATGAGATCAGGTTCTTATCAGTGCCTCAGTCCCGCTGCACACGTGTGTGAGTTATCTTCTCAGTCCCTGAGTCAAACCACTTAATGTCCTTTCTTCTCTCCCCAAGGTTCTGTCACCTTCCTCCCCTCTCAGCAGGTGACTTTGCTTATTCTATTGAGGAAATACGGATGGCGCTGAGAGAGAACTTCTCGCCTCAAACCTACTAACACACCCCTATCTGTGTCCACACTTCTTCCCGCACCTGATTCTGTGTAAAACAAACCCCTCCAGTTCTATTTTGGATCCCATTCCAATGTTCCTACTGAGGACTTGACTTGTGCAACTATTCCCTCCCTCTCCTATACTGCCAATTATTCCCTCTCTAAAGTGAGTATATCTTTCATCGCACAGATGTGCAATTTCTCTCATCCTAAGAATAAATGAGAAACTCTCCCAAGAGCCCACAGCTCCCTCCAGCACCATCCTAATTTAAAGCATGTAAATTTGATAGGCCCAAAACACAGCTCTTAACCTCCCACACCTTCTTTCACCCAACTTATTTTTCCTAGCACCTCCTCCGTCTCTGGAGGTGGCTTTACCATTCATTTAGTTATTCAAGATAAAAAAACCAAGTGTCGCCCTTGAGTCTTTTCATCTCCTAGTATCATCCAATCCATCAACAAATTCTAGTCACCTCTCTTTCAAAATATTTTCAAATCCAGTCTCTTGTCACCATTTTGAATTGCTGTCTGGTCCAAGGTGCCATCATCTCTTGCTTAGAATACTGCAACAGCCTCTTAACCAGTCTTCCTGTCCCCTCCTGACCCTTACACTATGTTCTCCACCTGTGGCCAGAGTGTTGTTTGAAAATACACAGCCTGTCAAATGCTTCCCTGCTCGAGAGTCTAATGCTTCATCTCGCACTTGGAATACATCCCTGATTCCTTACAATGACCTTCAAGGCCAGAACCAACACCAGCTGTCCGTCTTTCTGAACTCTCTCCCTATCATGGTTACACTCACACCAGTGTAGTCTAGTCACAAGAACCTTCATGTTTTCAAAAGTACTTAGTGACATGGGGAAATGGTTATTACAGAAAACCTGACTCAAAAAAAAAACCCAACAGCAAACCAAAACCCTGTGCTGTATGTTTGTACATAAGTTAAGGCTAAAAGGATATATATACATCAACATGTTGAACAGAACTTCTCTCTGAGACACTGAATTACCGGTGACTTCTTATTTTTTCTATATGCTTTCAGTATTTTCTCTAATAAGCTTGTGATGCATTTCTATTTATGTGATGTTTACAAGTTATGGCAGGTTTAGCCATAGAGCTCTTAGGCTTATAATTAGCACAGAAACAGTCGATCCTATTCTGTTTCTGTTTCTCCGAGGACATTTCAAAATCTGCACCGGTTCCTAAGATCAAAATCCTCAATCCAACAAGCTGGATGTAACAGCCACAACCTCTTCATGTCAGAAGAAGGTTTACTCCCCAGCCCAGGGGCTGACATTTGGAGTCAGAGGTGAGGTGAGCAAGTAAGAGAGGAAAGCCATGAGGACTGTAAAAGATTATACTATTGAAAGTCAACAAAATGTTTATATTATATCCATACAACAGAGCACTAGTCAGCAATGAAAAGCAACAAGGCACTGATAGATGCTGCAATAGAAATAAATGCCAAAAACCATTATGCTAAGTGGAAGAAGCCAGATGCAAAAGACTATATATTATATGAATATGACTGTGTTTATTGCAATGACCAGAACAGGCCAATCTGTAGGACAGAAAGCAGATTAGTGGCTACCTGGAGCTGGGGATGAGCATGGGGACAGACCGTAGTCAGGCACGGGGGAGCTATTTGGCTGATGGGAATGTTCATGAACTAGATGGTGGTAATGGTTGCAGAACTCCATGAATTTGCTGAAAATCACTGAAGTGATTTATAAAAATCACTTAAGTCATTTAAAACCTTAAAGTGGATGAGTTTTACAATATATAATCATACCTCAATAAAGCTGTAAAAAAAAAAGATTACTTCTAGCAGATTTTTGTCTTGTTAAATTTTGCTATCACTTTTAGGCCTTTTATGACTTTTCATATTTTAAATTATTTTAAAATATTAAATATGACTTGATCTCTTAACAAAGTCAGCTTTGTAAAACCAGTAGGTGACTCATCCTCAAATTTAGTGAAAGTCTATTTATAAAGGACACAGCTCACTTCTCTCCATACAATGGCCTGAAATGACTGGCTCTTGGCTCACTTAAGCTAACATTATCGACAGGAAACAGTTCTCAAGCTCATCATCTTCATGCAGTGGAGCCATGAGGCATTCCAGCTTGCGATGTTTTCCATCCATCAACCCCGGTGTCGTCTCAACACAGCAGTTAAATAAGGGAGCATCGAATTTCAGCTGCAAATGAGTTCGGCTGTCCCCACAAGCCCCTCCATGACTAGTCTGACATCATTTAACGCAGCAGTTTTCAAGGTGTACATGTGTGATGGTGGAGAGGCGGGGTCTGTGTGTGGAGGGGCACACAGAATCGCCAGGCGGGCCCTTTCAACATGCACAATGGGGATAAAAGGCTGACTCTACTTCTCCGCAGTCAGGGTAACGGGCCACGGAAGCAGGTCACATCTGTCAGATGTGCTGGGGAAGAAAATGGCTGAGAATCACTGATTTTAGTAAAGCTTAGTATTCATTGTAAGAGGAAAGATAGCTTATGGTGCTTATTAATTACATTAGGAGGGTATTAAAATACTATTGAGCATAATGCTAAGTTTTCATGATATCGAAAGAGAAAAGATATTTTATCTGTCATTTGTATTTTAACAAAGTCTAACAATAGAGCATGTAGGAAACTATTAAAGTCCAAATAAACCCTGCTGTCAAATCAAACCGCAGTTCAA